AACACAACATAACTACCTGAAGTATCAGCATAGCAGAAGAACTACTTGTATCATGAGACTGAACCCCAGAGCCCTCCTTTTCAGCTAGATCGAGCAAGTGAGACAGCAGTTCCAAGTTGTCAATAGGTCGTCCCCTCTTAGTAGCCAAAGACCCCTTAACTCGATCAAGCCTAGCTATAAAATGATCTTTGTCTTCCTTTTGACCAAAATTCAGCTCCATTTGGAACCGAAAACACTCTCTTCTAGCGCGTTTCTTCAAAGAACCAACACCATCAGCAGTAGACATTTTTACACGTGTAAAAAAAGGAAACCACCATGCCCAGGGCACCGCCTTTTATACCGCACCTTCTCGTTTAAGCGGTTGTGGTTAGTGGAGAACATTATTATCAGCAAAAGACTGTACCTTTTCTGGAAGATTGTATTCTTTATCACCTGGTTTAGAGACTGGCTTAAAGAAACATAGTAAAGCCATGTTAGCTAGGTGCTTTTAACCATGCTTTTATCTAAAATTAATGTGGGTGTGGTCACACGCATGAATGGAATTATTGCTTGCGAATTTTATTTTGGTTTTTTTATGTAGATCTGTCAATCCGCCAATATTAAATCCCCATCAACATTTCATCTTATACGGTATATACTCTTGCTATTAACCACCCGTGTTGTGTGTGCAATAATCTTTTGTACTATACATATGTATTGATTATTTGATTTGCACCATATGGGTACATGTGGGGGACTAGTAGATACATTCTACATTCTACATGTACTTGTACTATGGTTGCTCTGTTTTTTTTCATGAATTTTTAATTAAAAATTAAACTACATGGGTTAGGCTTACACATGCAGATGTGCCTATAGCTTGGACATGTCTTCATTTATTACCAAATATTTAAAAAGCGTTGCTAGGCAGAAGAGGCCTATAGAAGTTAAAGTACAGATTGTACTGATGAGTGATGACACTCTCAAAGAGATATAAAACCATTTCAATTAAATTGAAACCTCACATTTCAGTAATATGCATACAATTTCTTAATTTTTTCATGGTAGTAATTATGCTTTGAAGTGGTTCACATCTACTTTGTGAATGGCTTAAACAGAAATGCTACAGGATAGATACATGTAGATTCTTTTAACTCTGTCTAGTGTATCTACATATCGGTTCCTACATGTTTATTTACCGTACAGAAGGAAATTTTGGAGGGACTAATTTTTTTTGCAAATTGCTAAATTTTTGTGATTGGCAAATTTTAATTTGGTGAATTTGTGGCCATGTGCCATTGAGTATGTGAATAATGGCTCAAAATGGCAGATTTTTATTTTGGCGAATGTCTATTAAAATGCCAAATTTGCCAAATTTAACTACCTCCTAAATTTCCTTCTATACGATATCTCACATTATGATAAAATCTGAGCTTCTTTGGCACATATTATGCTGAGTGCCTTTTTCTTGTGGCTATTTCAAAGTCAGTGAACATAGCAAGGCAAGCCAAGAGTTTTCCAGCTGCAACATCACATAGAGATTCTTTAAATCTGGAAGGCTAAGCCCCTTAATGTTTTATTTTATTTCTAGTTATTTTTATTGGTTACCTGTGTAATTTTTTTACATTGTGAAAATTTATTTGCTGCCTGAAGCGAAATATTAAGACAGCATTAATTGTATTATCATAATTGATGTTAATTTTTAGCTCCTTGAGACTTGTTTTAGTGCATGATAAAGATTAAGACTATCATAAAGTACTTTTTTTGTGCATGAAGGAAAGAGCAACTGGTGCCAATCTACCCTTGTTAGGTGCCTTGTCCTAATGGTAATATTTTAATTGATTGATTAATAAGAATTAGTGACAAAGCCTCCGGAAACCTCTCAAGAGGAGGGAGGAGGTTTGGAATTTCGCAAGGGCCACTCCCTGTGTACCTGCAACCAAACCTGACACCTCATATGGCATCTGGGAATGCCCACCTGCTCAGGATGGCAAGAGGGAAGGGGACCAGCATGCTAACACCAACGGCAAGGTATTGCCCTGTGCCCCCACCCCAGCCACGGAACACTCATGCCCTCGAGCCCTTCATCCCAGGACCAGAATCCCGATGAGGATCGGGAACCTGATGTGGCCCAGGAACCCAGTGGTTATGCCCTCCCCATGGGAATGGGATCCCAATATGGGGATGGGCCACATGGAGTCTCCACACCCCTGGAGGGGAGTGTGGGCAAGAGGACATGGCGTCACCCTGGGATCAGAATCCCACCCCGGGCAAGGACCACACAGAGTAGTCTCCGACCTGGAGGGAGCGCAGGTAACAGACACGAGCCTCAGGATGGTTACAGGCAGACCAAACATTGATGGGGGAGTGAGTGATGGGGACCAACACTGCCAGAGATGCCAAAAGCATCTCACTCCCCAAACAATGTAAGGTAGATAGGGGAATGGAAAACGAGACAGACGAAGGGTCCCACATAAGGTAAGGAATAGCAATAGAAAACCAAAATGAAACTGACATATACACACAAAGAGGCAAAATACAGACAATAATAACACACGCAAAACAAAAGGGGGACACAAATATTAGCAAGAAAGGAGAGTCTGTGACACTCGAACCAAGGTGCTCCGTGGAGTCCGTATATATCGAGTAAAAGCAGAGGACTTCCATCGACCCAGAGTTTGAATTAATGAATCCTCGATCCCACAGGCAGCAGCTGTGGTGGCTGCCCCAATTCGGAAGCTGTGCCCATTGAAACGACTAACATCCAACCCTGTCAAAGCCAAAGCCTCACGCACAGCGCCAACAAGCCTTCTCCGTGAGAGTGGACTGCCATCCTTGAACTGGAACAAGGGGCCTGACTGAGAACCTCTAATGGCCAGATAAGACAACAACGACTTAACTGGACAAATCGGGCCATCCACTCGACCCAAATAAATTCGAACTCCAGCCCCAAAAACATCAGTTTTACTTTGACGAAGGAGGAGCGAGATATAAGTGGGAGAAGAGTGAGAATCGACAGAGACATCACCAAATGAGAGCATAGAATCTGTGAAAGCCCCCCGCGAGGGGCAAGTAAACTCCCCAGAACGAAGAAAGCCAAAGAAACCCACACAGCAGGCGGCCCAAAAGAGTACAGCATCAAATGTGACAGGCTGACGAGACCAAGCTTGGAACAAGAGCCTGAGGATTTCAGGAGTAATAGGGAGACGTTGGCGACGCGAACGGCTTGGGACAGACCTGCGGATGCCTCTGAGCACATAGTCCAACCGAGGTAGGGAGGACACAGCAAGATCTGGAAAACCCTGGATAACCTGCGCAAACCTAACCCCACTGAGGTAAACACGAATTGATCCGTAAGACAAACCCCGACTTGCCAGGTCGGATACAAAAAGAGAAAGGAGAGATTCAGAAACAGGAAAGGGGGAACAAACACCAAAACGATGACAGAATGACAGATAACAACTAACAGCGGTCCGGTAAGACCGGATAGTGCCTGGAGAGAGGGCTGTCAACAAGTAGCTTTGAACTGCCTGATCCAAGGCTGAGAGCCCCAATCCGGACGCTGCCACAGCAGTAGGTCGAGTACCTCTTGGGACACCACCGAAGGAGAACCCTGTGGGACAAGGGAAAGAAACAGTGACATATTATCACGTGAGAGCGCATCTGCTGCTACATTGGCCACCCCGGGTAAATGGTGAGCACTGTAAGAAAACTGGAACCTAGCAGCATAAAAATACAGGCAGCGGAGAAGATGCAAGAGAACTGGGTCCTTGGCTGAGCGTCTCTGAATGACTGACACCACAGCAGCATTATCGCAGTGGAACAAGACATTACAGCGGTGCCATGAGCGGCCCCATGTTGCTGCTGCTAAGACAATCGGAGCCATCTCCTTGACAGCAATACTCAGATCGGCCCAAGAGTCTGGCCAAGACACCTGCAACCACCTGCCATTGGCCGAGACAGCACCACACCCAAAACTCCCAGATGCATCGGAATGCACATGCATCACTGGGCTATTGCCAGGCAGAACAAAAGCAGCCCCATGCCAAGACTGCAGAAAACAGTCCCACCAGGCAAGGTCCGCTTTAGCCACCACATCCAGGTGGATAAAATAATGCCGAACATGAACCTTAGCCAAGAGAGAGAAAAGGTGACGAAGGAAGATCCTGCCAGGCCGCACCACAACTGCTGCATGGGAGAGATGCCCAAGGAGGGACTCGAGCTCAGAGCGGCGGCAAGACCTCTTACCCAGCCAGCGAGAAACCATAGCCCTAACTCGATTGACCTTCTCCTGAGGCAACCTCAACTCCATCCTTTCTGAGTCAATTACAATACCCAGAAAGGTCACTGATGTACTAGGACCTTCAAGCTTAGGGAGTGAAACTGGGATACCCAGGTCAGCCAACAGCCCCAGGGCCAAGCGAAGGGCACTACTAGCTTCCCCTGAACCAGGGGCCCCAAAAAACATGAAGTCATCCAGGTAGTGCATTATATGATGGACCCCATGGTGATATAGAATCCAAGCCAACGCATCGGCAAAAGCGGTAAAGATCTTAGGAGCCGAACAAAGCCCGAATGGAAGACAGTGATCAATGAACACTCGTCCCTCCCAACATATCCCCAAGAACTGCCTATCCCCGGGGTGGATTGGCAGGATACGATAAACGTTCTTGAGGTCCAGCTTGACCATCTGGGTCGAACGGCCTAAAGCTAACACAAAGTCCACAGCATCATCTACCGAGGGAAAGCTCAAAGAGCAAAAGTCTGAAAGGATAGCATCATTGACACTGCTCACCCTAGGAAAGGACAGGTCCACCATCATCCTCCAGGCCAAACCATCATGACCCTTAGGGACCAAGCCCACAGGGCTAGTATGCAAGCTAGCAGAGCAAGGCCAAGGGCCACAAATCCGACCCACTGCCTGCTCTGCTGAAATATGATCCCCAACCACTGAAGGCATGTTACGACAAGAGGGGTGATTCCTAGAGGAAGAACGGACAGAAACATCACCCGACAGACCAATCAGGAAACCAGCCCTGACTCCAGTAATAATGTAAGCAGCCAAACGCTGGTCAGGATACGATGACAGAAGAGAAGTTAAGAGAGACACATTAATGGGGAAACTACCGGAAGAGGAGGGATCACTGATGGGAGCAAGTGATAACATGCTTCCGATGAGAGACCCTCCATGTCCTTTTGATAAATATAGCGGCCTCCCACCAAACCCATCAAGGCCAAAGTACGAGTACGGAGATCCAGGCCTACAAGAAAGACCTGGTATCAAAAACAAACATTACACAAACCATCAGAAAATATAAGACTAAGGCTAACAAACCCACAAAACTCGCTCACCTCCCCTCACACAAGGAGGCAAGGCAAAACACCCCCAACATTAAAGTGTAACAACAATGGATAAATGCAATAAGTGATAACAACTCAGTATAAGAACCAAAAGTTAACGGAAACAGTATCAAAGTCATAAGTCAATGGGCTGAATGTGGGCCTGGGGGAGGAGGAGGAGGAGGAGGTTGGCCTCTCTTAGATGTCCGAAACCTGGAGTCTGGTGGGGTATCTTTAGAGTCCCTTGCCGGATGCAAGGAGCTCCCACAAGTAGCACAGGCATGCTTCTGCCAGCATTGACCCAGTGGAAAGGCACAACGCCCTTCATTCCAAGTCAGACAAATGACAGTAGGTCTTGGGGGCCTGCCCTGCTGAGAGGTCTGGAGGGCCGCCATGGCACACTCGTGAGCCAAATGGTCACAGCCCTGACACACCCTGCAGAAGGTGCCACCACTTGTACACTGGCTCAACACAGTCGATGCCACCAAACTGGAGTGCAGTGTGCCCCTTGACAAGGAAGAATCTAGAGCCGCCTGCTGCCGAAACAAACGGCCGTAGTCCAACCAACCCCGCCCCCCCCGGTGCGAAGTGCCTCCCTCACCAAAAGTCGACCATAAACCAAAAGATCCCTAGTAAACTGATCGTCAATGAGCACAGCCAAATAAGTTAGGAAGCAATAAATCCATGAGGGGAGGGAGGTCACCTCTCGGAGGCGAGGACGAGACGATGGGGGCAGAACCATTGGAAAATAGCCAGCTGCCGACTCAAAATGCTGCGACACAGCAACATTGTCGCGCAATAACTCCCGCATATCAACAAACGGGCTACTCCGGATCCTCTGCACCAGCCTTGCTGGAATTGGCTCTGCTGAAATGGAGAGAGAGAGACTTGAGCCAGCTGGTTCCTGGTGACCAACTACCCTGGAAGGTGGAAGGGGCCCAAGAGGCGGGAAAGTGGGATGGGGCACTGTGGCTACAGGAGCCTGCTGAGGCAAGGTGCCAGCCATAGAAGTCATAGCTGTGGGCAGCAATGGGACAGATGACACTGAACCCACAGGAGGAGAGTCCCCAGCTGGGAAGGGAGCCCTGCAGCAAGACAAAAACAAAGAACAAACCACTAGATGAGAGTCCCCTGCACAAAGATAAAACAACAGGGCTCCATAACCACAAAAAGTAGAACCCCTCACAAAACAAAACGGTTGGAAAGAGAAGAACAACACTAGTGGAGATGGCAAATAGCAATGAGGAGAAGGGACAGTGTGATGACCACAGGGCGTGCATCAGCCCAATACAAGAATGACCTGAGGGGAAGTCATCTGGAGGAGGGCATGCATCAGCCCCAGAGCTAAACAAGTGGGGGGAGGGGTGAAGGCACACATCGGCCCTGTCTAATGAAGTGTGGAGGCGTGCATCAGCCCCATCAAATAAGGGAGGGCAGTCGTGAGAACACAGAACCAGAGAATTAACAATAAGGAGGGGCGGGGCATGCATCAGCCAACTGGTGACCAGCCCCAGCATAGGGAAAAATAACAATAGTGAACAATAATAATAACAATACTAACAACAACAATAATATTGATAATATCAATGTATATCTTAGCGTAGGGACTTCTCAATTTATTTTTGTTTTTTTTTTATTTTCTACCGTATAAATAGTAATAATAACAATAACGATAATAGTAATAATGATAGATGGAAACACAGCCATAGATAAACAAAAACAATAATAATAATAATAATAATAACGACAACAATAATGAAAGACCAAAGGACAATACTGGTCACAATAACGCCAGTGAAAGTAATAACCATACACACACTGAAATACATACCATGCCACCCACCAACAACGAATAATCCAGTTACAGCTACCATGCCTACCCACTCAACCACCAACTCTACCCAAACCAAAATCCGTATCACTATTACTGAAATTACGAAGCATCAAGCAACAACCCCAACCTCAACAGAATAGAAGCAACTACAAGCACCTGATAAACACAAGGAAGTCAATGCAGCACACGAACACACAACATGAGGGCAACAATGACCCCCAGGGGGCTCGAACTTGGGCCCCAGATAAGATAGACAAATGAAAACAACAATAAACAACAAAATGAATAATAGACCCGAAAACACCCCTCACCTAATGGGTCAGAATGTGGGTCATAGATAGGGCTCGCCAAGCCACCTGCAGGAAGTGGATGGGCAGAACCAGCACCTGCGGGAACACTAGGAGGGGCAGTCTGACTGTTGCTCATCTGGGAAGACAACTGCTGGTGCACTTCCTCCCTAATGAGGCCCAAAAACTCCGAGTAACCAGCAGCCACGGAGCCATCTTGAGAACTGGTAGCCCCCAGAGAACTTGGAGGAGAACTAGCTGCCGCAGTGGCCTCCGGGGATGGTGAAGGCTGACTCGAAGCACGAGCCGAACGGCCCGAGCAACCCGCACCCCGGGACCGGCCACGACCTCTGGCACGCCGAGACTTTGGCATCACTGACTAACAACAGAATACAACTATCAACTATCGAGAATAAACAATAGAAAATAAGAAAATTCCAAATTCAGCTCAGGTAGCCACGACTGCTCATGCTGACTACACTCACAAAGACAATGAGATCAGTGCGCATGCACAGGGAGGAGCCCCGCCTTTCTAATTAACTGTCTTTAAACGCAAGCCTTTAAAGTCTATTCACTTCTTTATAAAAATTTTATTGAAAAGATTAGGAAAACTAATCAATGAAGGTTACAAATCATGTTCATGGCTTCATGCTGTTTGGCTCTTTTTGACAATGACTCCAAATTAGAAATTAGCATCAGAGAGTTTATCTTCAAGTTATATATTTTCACTAGTTTTTGAGCAAACTCTGTAGCAAGCTGAGTACCTTTCACAATAAAAATATTTAAAAACTGAGAAAAAACAGAACCTTTAATTTGAACTGCTTTTTTAACATGTTCAATTACTTCTCCTATTTGATGGTACTTATCTTGTCCAATACATCTATCAGTTATCATACTTCTTTCCCTTTCGGTAATCACATTCATCTCAAGCAGCTTGTCTGCAAAATCAGAATAATCATTAGAAAAATATTCCTTAATTTCTG